TCTTGCAGAGACATTATAGACACATCTTTACAGTCTTTTATCCTTTTCATAAAATAAACTCTAGCAGACATAATAATATTATGGCTTTTAAAATTAGGTATTACAATGCTAATTCATAGCAAAGACGATATACTATTCGTCACTGAATTCCCATGTTTTTTGGGACACCCTGTATAATTAATAGAAACGAGGCTACTAGCATCTAAAATCAGTTTTCTTTGTACATGTAGTAAATGCTCTACTCCTTCAGGGTTTCTAGAACCCGTATTAACCAAGGTACAACTCAATCTCACTTTACTATCAATGTCAAACCGGACACGATCTATCTTTACCAGCAACTATCAATGCCCCAACTCGGACTTAATCTTGTAAATTATCAATGCCCCAACTCGGACACGATCTTGAGCTATCAATGCCTCAACTCGGACACAATCTTGTAAACTATCAATGCCCCAACTCGGACTTAATCTTGTAAATTATCAATGTCTCAACTCGGACACAATCCTGAGCTATCAATGCCTCAACTTGGACATGCTCTCATAAACTATCAATGTCTCAACTTGGACATGATCTCGTAAACTATCAATGCCTCAACTCGGACACAATCCTGAGCTATCAATGCCTCAACTTGGACATGATCTCATAAACTATCAATGTCTCAACTTGGACATGATCTCGTAAACTATAAATGCCTCAACTCGGACACAATCCTGAGCTATCAATGCCTCAACTTGGACATGATCTCATAAACTATCAATGTCTCAACTTGGACATGATCTCGTAAACTATAAATGCCTCAACTCGGACACAATACTGAGCTATCAATGCCTCAACTTGGACATGATCTCATAAACTATCAATGTCTCAACTTGGACATGATCTCATAAACTATCAATGCCTCAACTCGGACACAATCTCGTAAACTATCAATGCCTCAACTCGGACACAATCCTGAGCTATTAATGCCTCAACTCGGACATGATCCCATGAACTATCAACGCAACAACTTGGACACGATCTCATGAACTATCACATGCCTCAACTCGGACACAATCTTGTAAACTATCAATGCCTCAACTTGGACATAATCTTACAAACTATCAATGCCTAAACTTGGACATAATCTTACAAACTATCAATGCCTCAACTTGGACATGATCCCATGAACTATCAACGCAACAACTTGGACACGATCTCATGAACTATCACATGCCTCAACCATAATCTTACAAACTATCAATGCCTCAACTTGGACATAATCTTACAAACTATCAATGCCTCAACTTGGACATAATCTTACAAACTATCAATGCCAAACCAATGGACACGATCCTCAGCCTGTTTTTTAAAACAAGGAACGATTACTCTCTCGCAGTCTAGTAATCAGTGCGGAGTCTCTATATCAACTGAGTATATTTCTGTTAGATCAAATAATATAAGTTTGAAATATCAAAGATTTACGACATTGGGTTCTAAAGATATAGGTATTATAAAATCAGAGTTTGTGGCAAAGACTCAATTCCTTTAAATACGTAGAGGCTAGGCATAGGGTTAAATTTAGAAGACAACTTTGAATATATATATGCATAGGGTTAAATCATGTTCTCGATACCCATAGGGTTAAATTTAGAAAATAAATTTAAATGTATAGGGTGTAGGCATAGGATTAAATTTAGAAGATAAATTATAGTGTTAAAGGAATTAAGTCTTTTCCATAAACACTGATTTTCTAATTACTATATCTACGTAGTTCAATGTCGTAGATGCGAGATCAAATAATCAGATGTTTCCATCATAAAGTTGCAAAGATACAGGAATTGTAAACTTGAGTTTACTTTAAAAATGTGAGTGAGGCATTTGGTCGAATTTAGATGAAAACATTTCACCATGTTTTTTTATCGTTGTTAACCTAAGTTTATGATCTAAACAGTAATAGGCAATAAATAAATATAATGGCTAAATCAGACTGTTAAAGAGGAGTAGGGGGAAACATAACTTCTTTTAATTGCTATGTTGTGACAGATTACATGCTCTCAGAAAAATCCCACTGTTTGTCACATTAATTTGAATAGAAACAAACTTCTATTTTACTAATCCCTAGAGAGATGAAGGATTGAGTGGATTAATCATGTATAAAACAAATTTAGATTTGGATCAAACAGAATTAAATAAATGAATTCGCAGAAATAAACAATTCAGAGGGGAAACTGGTTTTACATCTAATAGAAGGATAAATAAGGATAATAAAGCTTTCAATAATAAAATTTCTAGCTGAAAATCTGCGAAATAAAACATGCACAGAGATGCATTTAAATAAAAAATTGTTTGCGCAAAAACACACCAATAAAATTTAGTGTTTTTTAAATATTCCACGTTTTTTGGCTTAAAGTTTAAAGAGACCCCGCAAAAAATCTAAAAGGTAACATATAAAAGACGCCCCATTCTCATACCTCTGAGATAAAATTTACATTAAATACGTGTTTTTTATTGTATGCGAGTCACCCCCCCCCCATCCCTCACATCACTATCAAATATGTTCATGGTTAGAATTAAAACTTTTTAAAGTGCAACAACCAAGCTTTAATCGCACTAGAAACGCCAAAAACGGATTAAAAATGTCACTCTCCACTAAAAGCTACTATATCTTTGGTCAGAGTACTGCTAATTACTGCAGAATGCACCGAAAGCTTGGTTGAGGGTGAAGTGAATCGAACTGGTTAAGAATTTGGCCAGATTAAACTGGATTAGAAGATAAAATAAGAAAATAATGTAAACAATCCAATCTTGCTCTCTTTCTTCTTTTATTTGGTCAAATCACAGCTGTAAACTGGTTTACGGTGAACTATGTTCTGTGTGCATTTTCCAATTAATCCTACCGTTAGAGATGGGAAAAGTTTTTTTTTTAACAAACAAAATTTTTCAGAACAAAAGAAATTTTTTTGTGAAAAAGGGTGCTGTTCAGAAGAGGAAAACGCACGATGGAAGAACGAAATGGATCGTCCAGAGTATTATTGTTTTTAAAATCGAAGGGAAAAAAAAACAAAACGAACGAGTTAAACACGATAAAAACGAACAAAGTGGGTTGTTCACGAACGAAATGAAAAAAGTCGAACGTTCCCTGTTGAACCTCCCGAAAATTGATTTGTGCTGTTTGCTTCTGATTGTTTAAAATGTGCGCCATTTTGTGTCAAGAATAAAAATCCCAATTCAAAAATGTAATGCTAAGTGGTTTAATTGATATTTAACTTTTCACTTTGTAAAAATATGTATATTTTTTATTATATGTATATTTACTATTATATATGTGCTGGTACCAGCGTGTCCTTGCTTTATACACGCACTCTGCATTCTACTGCCAGCTTATTCACAATAGATTCTAAGTAAAACTTTTCATTTAAACTTTTTCTTCCTGATTTATTACATATTTAGAGTAAATATCAGCTTTGCTTAGAACCTATATCTTTTTCACAACCCATAAAGATTATCTTATTTTTTTAGCATTACAAATAAATCTATAATTTTCATTTCTAAAAATTGTTAGTTCATCGTCGAAAAATACTTACAATCCACCACTAGTTTTTATTAAATATAATGTAAACAATAAATATGTAAGTTCGTTTTCCATTCCTTTCCTTTTCCTTCCATTTTTATTTTTAATATTTTTTTTAGAATTGAGGGGAAATATTCCCACATCCTCTATTTTTGGAGATTTTTAAATATTTTCGCCTGAAGCACCTAGTTTTGTATGTTTTTGTCATATTTCTTAAAAAAATAATTACTTACTTACTTACTTGTAACAAACAGAATCATAAGTACAATACTGAATAGATTATTTAGTTAAGATCTTAAACTAAAACTATTTTACGATCGCTAAAATCGCACAAATGTGCCATCCCATTTTCAAAAAAATCATTAAACTTTTATGGAATCTTTTAAAAATGCCATCAGAAGTCGAAATTTTTTTTGCAAAGTATCATTAATCTTGAATCTGCATCTTGATATATCCAATCTTGACACTTTTTTCAAAGTCATCATTATTTAGATCCGAAACAGAGCTATTTTTATCATTTAAGTTCTCAAAGTTGTTTTTCTATTTTTTTTATTTAAAACTTATCTACCGAAAAGAAATTAAAAATTAATAAAGTCTTAAAATTTATGTTTAATTCTTCCAATTTATGACAGCTACAATAAAGCCATGTTAAACAAAATGACGGATTAGTTGATAGAATGAATGATAAAAGAAAAAAGTTGAATTTGTTAGAGAACTTTGAACCATAAACCTTTGTATTCATGTTGTGTCCACTGTCCGACGCCTTTCTTCAAAATGTCATTGAAATCTCAAAATATAGTTTAACTGTATAGAATAATAAGTAACCAACTGTCATTTTAAAATCACTTTTCTGCCTGCCTGCCATTGCGCATGGTGCGTTAAATTGGAATTTCTTTATCTCAGCTCCATGCATAACATAAAATTTCCTCTCTATAGCTTTGCAACCTGATATTGTAAACTTGTATTCTAAATAAACATGAATTCTATAAGTCTGAAAATCAAAGGTTCAAACTATTTGGTTGGAAATATGTGGTAGCAGATGTTAAATAGAAGACGACATTTATTTGTTGTCTGTAGTTTCCTAGAAACTTTATCCAATAATCTTCATTCATACTTTTAGACAGATCTCAAGGGGTGTACACAGTTGAGGGAAAAATGAATCTATGGTGTTCAGGTTGCAGTCCCCCCCCCTGGAATGGCATATAAGGTTAAGCCCCCCCCCATTGGAAATATTCCTGTATACGGCCCTGATCTCAAAATGGTGAAGACCAAAGCTCCCTAGTGTGAGAGAATATTTGGAAAATAATAGACATTGGTCAGATCTGATAGTCAGCAGTTTCTCAACACTCTATACAGGATACAGGATACAGGATACAGGATACAGGATACAGAATACAGGATTCAGGATACAGGCTAAAGAAAAAAGGATAATATATTGAACCATTTCCTATCACACCTTCTCATCGCTTCCTCCCTTAACCCTTCCCCCTCCTCCTTTTTTAACCCTTCCCTTCAAAACCATCAACACCTTCTCCATCTCACCCACCTTCTCTACCTTCTCTACCTTCTCCACCTTCTCTACCTTCTCCACCTTCTCTACCTTCTCCACCTTACCCACCTTCTCTACCTTCTCTATCTTCCCCACCTCACCCACCTTCTCTACCTTCTCTACCTCCCCCGCCTCCTCCACCTTCCCCACCTTCTCCACCTCACCCACCTTCTCTACCTTCTCTACCTTCTCCACCTTACCCACCTTCTCTACCTTCTCTATCTTCCCCACCTCACCCACCTTCTCTACCTTCTCTACCTTCCCCACCTTCTCCACCTTCCCCACCTTCTCCACCTTCCCCACCTTCTCCACCTCACCCACCTTCTCTACCTTCTCTACCTTCTCCACCTTACCCACCTTCTCTACCTTCTCTATCTTCCCCACCTCACCCACCTTCTCTACCTTCTCCACCTTCCCCACCTTCTCCACCTTCCCCACCTTCTCCACCTCACCCACCTTCTCTACCTTCTCTACCTTCTCCACCTTACCCACCTTCTCTACCTTCTCTATCTTCCCCACCTCACCCACCTTCTCTACCTTCTCTACCTTCTCCACCTTCTCCACCTTCCCCACCTCACCCACCTTCCCCACCTCACCCCGTCCCAATCCTTCCCTTGCCCCTTGTTCTCAAGTTTAAATGTATGCGGACTTGTATAATATAATTCTATCTTCAAATCTACAGAGATTGAGAAACTGAATAAACTTGACACTGAGAAAGTTTATGCAAACAGGGGGGTGCATCAATGATGTATACAGGGGGCAGTGGCCAACCCTAAACTAATAATGAGTGAGGACGCAGTAATAGCCCCCTTCCTTGGATCCAGTCCAAAGATCTAGTAATATGTAAAAACATTTGCGTATTTGTCATAATACAATTTAGATGGAATAGCTTGTATCGGTTCTTCTTCTTTTCAGTAAATATTGATAATCTTGAACGCGTTATTTCGATATCCAATATTGGCACTTTTTATATTGTTAGCATTGAACGCGTTATTTCAATATTCAATATTGGCACTTTTTATATTGTTAGTATTGAACGCGTTATTTCGATATCCAATATTGGCACTTTTTATATTGTTAGCATTGAACGCGTTATTTCAATATTTAATATTGGCACTTTTTATATTGTTAGTATTGAACGCGTTATTTCGATATCCAATATTGGCACTTTTTATATTGTTAGCATTGAACGCGTTATTTCAATATTTAATATTGGCACTTTTAATATTGTTAGTGTTGAACGCGTTATTTCGTTATCCAATATTGGCACTTTTAATATTGTTGGTATTGAACGTGTTATTTCGATATCCAATATTGGCACTTTTAATATTTTTAGTATTGAACGCGTTATCTCGATATTCAATATTGGCACTTTTTATATTGTTAGTGTTGAACGCGTTATTTCAATATTTAATATTGGCACTTTTAATATTGTTAGTGTTGAACGCGTTATTTCGATATTCAATATTGGCACTTTTTATATTGTTAGTATTGAACGCGTTATTTCAATATTCAATATTGGCACTTTTAATATTGTTAGAATTGAACGCGTTATTTCGATATCCAATATTGGCACTTTTGATATTGTTATTTCGATATTCAATATAGGCACTTTTAAATTTGCTTATCAATGTTTGATCCCGCAATAGAAGTTATCCAATCAGGGTATGACCATCACAATATATCGAATAAGAAGTTAATTCGTAAATCTTAATAAGCTTGAGATCAACGCTTTATCCCTAGATTCCACAACAAAAATATTTGACTTCTGGACATATAAATTGAAATAATTATTAATCTTAACAAGATACAATTTATACAATGCTAGTATAATTAAAGACTATCAGAATATTTTCATTTTGTCCAATTCTCACCATGAAACATAAGACAAATGCATTTTAAGAGGAGTACTGTGACAAAAACCAGTCACCCCCCCTCGACCCCCTAAAATACCCCACCATGAGGGGAGGGCGACTGGTTTTTGTCACAATACTCCTCTTAAAATGCATTTTTCTTGTGTTTCATGTTGAGATTGGACAAAATGAATATATTCTGATAATTTTTTCATTTACAAACATTGTATCAATTGCATAGCTAGCATTGATTTATAATGATTTCAATTTATAATTACTTTTCCTGTTCATATATTTATCATTGAATGGATCCTGTAAACCTGCAATATATTTAGGATGTCGTCTTTGAAACATTGAACTATTTTGTTAAAAAATATAAACTTTTTTACAAGAAATCACAACGGATTCAGGATAATCTATATAAATAAATAAATAGATTAACCATCATTAAATAATGTTGGGGCGCCGTCAGCCCGCCAAAGTATTAGTTTGGTCTCTGATTCAAGTTTATAATATCCATTTTAGGAGTTTTCACGGAAATCACCCGTTCATTGTCGGTTTTCAGAACTTCAACACAACATTTCTATCCCTCAACAAAGACTTCTCTCAAAATTACTCAAGCACGCGACTAAGCCTTATTTGAGGTTTACGATGTAAACTCAATATTGCTGACCCCCCCCCACCAATAAAATTTAG